TGCCAGAGGTGGGCTGCGCGCCTCCTCCCCTTGGTCCGAATTGGACTAGGAGAGGGGGGCGGCGCCCCCCCTTTCCCTCTCCCTCCCCACTTCTTTCCCCCTCCTAGTAGGAGTCCTACTCCTACTAGGAGGAGGACTCCTCCTGGCGCGCCTATAGGGGCCGGCCGGCCTCCTCCCCTTGATCCTTTATATACGGGGGCAGGGGGGCACCCCTAGACACACAAGTTGATCTTCGTGATCGTTCCTTAGCCGTGTGCGGTGCCCCCCTCCACCATATTCCACCTCGGTCATATTGTAGCGGTGCTTAGGCGAAGCCCTGCGACGGTAGAACATCAAGATCGTCACAACGTCGTCGTGTTGACGGAACTCCTCCCCGACGCTTTGCTGGACTGGAGCCCGGGGATCGTCATCGAGCTGAACGTGTGCTAGAACTCAGAGGTGCCATAGTTTCGGTGCTTGATCGGTCGGGCCGTGGAGACGTACGACTACATCAACCAAACGCTTCCGTTGTCGATCTACAAGGGTACGTAGATCACACTCTCCCCTCTCGTTGCTATACATCACCATGATCTTGCGTGTGCGTAGGAATTTTTTTGAAATTACTACGTTCCCCAACAGCCCCAAGCCCTGGCAGTTCCAACTTAGGACTATCATGACTCCTGACGGGCACCGCCTTTAGCGCCCGTCAGTTTGCCGGCAGCCCCAAGGCCGGTCGCTTCCGTTCCACCTGTACCGTCCATGACATCTCCCTGTCCATTTGTCTTTACCCCTGTCTTCTTCTTGTTTCTTTCTGTCTCTTCCCCTGCACTGTCCTCTGGCTGCATGTTTCTTCCCACCTCACTACGGCCACCCCTCTTGCCCAGTACAGAGGTGGCCATACCACCACCCTTTTCACACACTTTGCCTTTGCCCTGCAGTATCTCTGAACTTGAATATTTACATGTATTTCCTTTCTTTTGGACCTCTGAAACCTTCTCTGAACCTTGTGGCTCCGCCTCCTTTTGCCCATTAGTATAAGCATTGGGCCGGCCATCCTCCTCCGTGGGCGCCAAGGCATCCTCACCCATTGCTGGGTCAGCCCCCCTGCCACTGTCATTGATGTAGTAGAGACAGTTGCAGTAGGGGCCAACGGTAAAACAGCAACCACAGGGAGATCCACTACAGTATTTGTCTCCAAGATCGTCGGAGCTGCCTGGGTCGAAGCAGGGGCAGAAGAGTTGGACGCCGACGCAAACACATCCACTCCAGCCACCGCCTCTTGCTCATACGACATTTCTGCCTTGTTCTCATCAGCCATGGATTTGTTGCACACAGCAGAGGGGAAGGTGTTGATGCAGTTGGGAACTTTTAGGCTTGTGAAGTCTTCTGTCAAGGTTGCGTCCACCCTGGTATTTGTTCCTTCAAAGTTCCGTGCCTCACCGGATTTTGCCCCAGCCTCAGAGTCAGCCGGTGCACTTGCGCCTTGAATTTCCTGGTTTGTGTAAGTATCCATCTCATCGCCCACTGAGAGGCGGGCAACAATGTCCCACATCTGTTCCATTTCTGACATGACCATGGCCTGGCTGGCAGGATTGGGGGCACGCCAAAGGAGGGTTGGCGATTGGGGACCCACAGCTTGCCCCATTTTCTCGGGAAGAAACCACGCACGGGGGTCATCAAAATGGACCGGGAAAACACCAAGCTCCTTACTGTACCTGAGCTTCTTTTCTGCCTTTGGGAAATCACACCTCACTTCCATGTGTCCTATGAATCCACAAAATAAACAGAAATTTGGCAATCTCTCGTACCTCAGGTAAACTATTACCTCTTCATCTGATATTTCATCAGCAAGCATGATCTCCTTCTGCAAAGCAGAGTACAAAGGCAGTAGCACTCTCACTCTGAGGAACTTGTCGCAAATATTGCCTCTCGCATGATTGTTAATCATTACCATTGTTCCTACCTGATCACCCAGGCTACGAGCAAGCTCCTTGGTGAGAAGATAGAAAGGGATGCCTCTGAATTGTACCCACATCGGCACATGAGAAAAACTAACCGAAGAAGGATCAACTCCATTCTCCATGCCAACGACTAGGAACGCATCGCCCCTGTACTGCCACGCCCCCCCCCCCCTTGATGACGTGCTGTCGGTCTCCATCTTCAGAGGATTCGAGGACAAATTTTCGCCCTTCCACTGCAACCAGTTCATGGTCACCAAGCTCCCCTCTCACCTTCCAGACCTTCTTCATGTGATCAATCAATTGCTTGGAATTCACCAGCATAACAGACAGGAAAAGTCCGACCGCCAGGAAGCGAGCTTTCACCACCTTCCGGGCCCCAGTCATGTTGATGACCAGGGTCTTCTTCGCCGGACCCTTCTCGGTCTTGGCAATCTCCTTCCCCAGCCTCTGGATCTTGGTGCCTAGGGGAAGGTCGACATGCAGGCCGGCCGAGGTACCAGCAGCATACCCAGCCCCGATCACCCCCAACGCCGCTGCATCAACATCTCCCGACGTCTCCCCGAGACCCTTTTCCCGGTGGACTTCCTTTTCAGCCATGAGGCAAAAGTACGAACACCTACCGTGCCACAAAATAGCACAACACTGGATACGAGGGACTGGTGATGGATTATACAGAGCAGAGCCTCCTCTAAATAGCAAATCCTCCATGGCCTTGTTAATACCTTCATTATGCCCCAAATTACTCCCCGTGAATGGGAGCCCTTCCATCTCCTTAAGCAGAAACGACCTCCATGAATCGTCCTGCTCTTCAAGTCCCTTAATGCTTGAATTAGATTTTTCCTCTGTTGATTGCCCACGTCCCGGATCCGGCGGCCCCTTTCTGTCATCAAGAGAGAAACGGAATACAAGAAGATTGGCCTTAACGATCTTCAATTGAAACTTCAGATCCGCGATGCGGTTCTTCAAGTTCTCGATGGTCACGGCGGATACTCTGAGATGGCTTTTGATACTGGCTGAGCGCCTGGGGCCTGGTTGGGTAGGATTGTAGGGGAGAATATCAGGATTGATTTTCGTGGATTCTTTGTTTTCAGGGATCAGCCATCGGCGATTCCTAGAGGAGATGAGGAAGTCGCCCGTTGCAGGTATCGGCATGGTTTTGATTTATGTTGATTTCTGATTGGTTTGAGGAACCTGTAAATGAAATTGTAATGACCCTCACAAACGATGTACGTGTTATCTCTAATGAATAAAATTTTCGTTTTATCTAAAAAAAGCACCTCGGTGGACACGACCCCTTTTTTTGATAAACTTCTTCTCCTTTATTCATTCATAAGTAAAGTAGCATCGTTTACAAGTAAAGGGATAACCTCATTAGGGGCGTTATCCATCCAAACACTCGGAGAAGAAAACCTAGCTAACCTTGCTAGTTCATGAGCTACTCGATTACATTCCCTATTACAATGATCATAAATGACATGGGAAAAACCTAATGACATGAAATAACAGTCTATAATGGATGAAGTGACTGAAGAAGAGTAGCCTTGCCTCAACGCATTCACCACCTCCACGCTATCCGAATTCACTTCAATCTTACTACATCCGACGGTATTAGCAAGATTCAAACCAAACCTCACTGCAATTGCTTCTGCTGTGAACGAGTCGAAGCAAAGGTCCATCTTTTCATTAGCAGCCGCTATAAATTTCCCCCTATGGTCCCGGATAACTGCTCCAAATGTTGCTGCGAGTGTGTCACTATCAAATCCCGCGTCAACATTTAATTTCACGTAACCATACTTTGGTTTCAACCAAGCATCTGAACGGATGTGAGCCTTTGGGCTGTAAGAGATGGTATAATTTTCTACTAAGCCTCTCACTGACATATTGATTTGATATGCACTTTGAGTTTCTTCGTCATGTGTCAATTTTCGCCTTTCATACCACAAATACCAAGCCGTCGTTGCCATCGTTTCTCTGAACTTCGGCAAGCCCAACACTTGGATTTGTTGTTCTAGAAGGCACAGAAGATGTGCCAACACAAGCTCACCTACCTTGTCAACTTTCAGTGCCTGTTTGATAACAAGCTCAAGACCGAGCATCTTCCACACGTCCATTGCCAATTTGCATTCGAACAACATATGTCTTATGTCATCAGGCCCCTGGTTACAGGCTGGGCAACTCGGATTTATTTTCAAGTGCTTATTAGCCAGGATAGATCGACAGGGAATAGCACTCTGGATCGCGGGCCACATAAATATTTTTATCTTTGCTGGGCAGACTAAGTTCCATACCGAGTCCCATGTATAAGATGGGTTTGAAGCTCCAGCCGTTGATTCCAACTTCTGCCCAAATTGAAATTCCCATTCTGTATCGTATGCAGATCGCACCGTGAAAGTCCCTGACTTTGTCATGTTCCATGCCAGGAAATCTGTCATCTCATGTAATGGTAGTGGAATGGCCAAAATCCTTCGAACATCCACTTGCCAGAACGTTTGGTTAACCAGCTGCTCATCCCAACTCCCTGTCACTGGATCAATGAGGTCAGAAACTCTAGAAAGAAGATTGTTGCCCCTTGGTGAAATCACCTTTCTTGTTGGGCTATGAGGTATCCAGGGATCATCCCATATGCTAATTTTCTCACCATCACCAACTCTCCAAATATACCCACGTCTGAGCGTATCAACTCCGGCCATAATACTCCGCCATGTATATGAAGCCTTCTTTTTTAAAGTTGCATTCATGAGATCTCCACCAGGAAAATATTTCGCCTTAAGGATCAACGCACACAAAGAGTCCGGGTTGTCAATAAGGCGTCATGCCTGTTTTGCCAGAAGTGCAAGATTAAAGCAGTGAATATCTCTGAAGCCCATACCCCCTTCTTTCTTGGGAATACACATCTTCCACCATGCAAACCAGTGCATCCTCTTATGAGTTGCATCATCACCCCACCAAAAACGAGATATCGCATCTGTGATTCCTTTACAAATTTTCTTAGGAATTTGAAAGACAGACATCGCATAAGTTGGTATTGCTTGAGCAACAGACTTAATAAGAACTTCTTTCCCTCCTGAAGAGAGACACTTCTCCTTCCACCCCGTAAGCTTCATAATTAATCGATCTATTAGATATTGAAAACTGTCACTTTTATCAAGTCCAAGAGTAGCAGGCAGTCCCAGATACTTGTCATTTAAGGCCTCGGTCATGATATTCAGACAAGAGCAAATCTGAGCCTTCATATTTACCTCGGTGCCGGGGCTAAAAAAGATACTTGATTTGTCAACACTAACAAGTTGCCCGGACGCATCACAATATAAATCCAGAATTGATCTCAAGCACATTGAATTCTGAATATTAGCTTTCATCAAAATTAATGAATCATCAGCAAAGAGTAGATTTGTTACCGCGGGTGCATCTCTACAGACCTTAACCCCCATTAAGTCTCCACTCTGTTTCGCATGAGAAAGTAGGGCTGTCAAACCCTCCGTACATAGGAGAAACAGATACGGGAAGAGTGGGTCACCTTGTCGAAGACCTCTGGAGGGTTTGAAACAACCTCAGCGCCCTCATTGGACCATACAATTTTTTTTAGACAAATTGGACCATACAAATGCCACGCGCGCACCTAGCTGTACATGGCCCGCTCCTATTCACCTAGTGTGGCCCACCTGGTCCACGCATAAAGAAGAACGGAAAAGATCCATGGTCCACTCGCCCCTCAAAAAAAAATGTTCATGGTCCACTCTTCACCGCTAAATGTCTAATGATGATCATCTAAAAAAATGTCTAATGATGACGAGCTAAGTGCGTTTATCAGTTGCGAATATGAAAATCTTGAGGTCCTTGTTCCAGCTTTTGGAGCGAATATTCTATATTAAAAAGTGAACTGTGAATATTCTATATTTACGGATGCCTCGATAAAAAAAGCTCAAAAGAAAGCTTTAGAGCATCTCTAGCAGACCCCTTAAAAGCAGTCAAACCCGTAAAAAATAAGGCATTTACAGTCGAGAAAACACTCCCTAGCAAATCCCGTAAAGTTCGACCAACCCTTAAAATTTTTTAGGGCCACCAAGAATCCATCCGCGAGAACCTCATATGTACAGATTGGAAGGCAATATACAGTTCAACTCGTAAACGGTCAAACCTCGTCAGAGCAGATGCGCGGCCTCGAAACTGGTCGGAATCAACCCGAAACTCGCCGAAATCTGTCACCGCACATTGGAAAAGGTCGGTGCACGACAGAATTTGTTGATGCCGGTCCAAATTGTGGCCGACTCGACCTTCACCGCCAAGGCGAGGCCGGCCATGGGCGGGGTGGAGCAGGCCGCCGTCGGCCCGAATCGAGGTGGGGCGGCGCCAAAGAAGGGCAAGAGAGGCACGACCAAGGCGGGGGAGCGCGATAGGAGCGGGCATGGCCGAGGCGGAGCGTGGCGGCGGGTGTGGCCGGGGCGAAGCGCGGTCAGGCCTGGGCATGCATGGCCGGGGCTGGACAGGCGGGGGACGGGTGGCGGCCGGGGCGGGTCTGGCCGAGGCGCGGTGTGGCCGGAGCGGGATGATTGTTTGCTGTATCATTACGGATATAGTTCGTAATACGATATTTGTTCTTTTCGGCCCAGTTTTGCACCGTAAAATGGTTTAAAGAGCTCTTTAAATGTGTTTTAAGGGGTCTGTTAGGGATCCTAGCCCTGTTTGGATTATTATTTTTAATGTTTGCTCCTCTGACGGCCGCCTGGGCGTGGCACTACGGCTGGGATAGACAACAAGGACATCGGGGCTACGGCCTCGGCAAGGAGGTGGTGCGATGCATCCGGTAGAGCTTCAGTTGATTACTAGCACGCATATATGCGCCCGTGCCGGCGGCATGCGACAACACCATGACATCAGCAAAGGGTGATTCATTGGTGTTGAGTAGAGAGGTGTCTAATCCCATTGTTGGTGGCCTTTCAATGGTGGTGTGTCAGTGTCTCAGGGTGGACTATCGAGGGCGGACATTTGTCGTCTGCTGTGCATGCAACAGTCAGCGCTTGGGAAGGTTTTTGTTTGTTGATGTGGCCGGAGCGCAACGGTGCTCCCCCATTGACATCATGCTCGGCGGTATCTACCTCCGTTCATGCGGAGGAAGCCGGGGCAACGGTCCCGAAAATGTGGTGGATATTGCATGTTGGCTGGCAATGGTGTGGAGTGACAATAGTCAGATTAGTGCCGCAACATGGGTGAGCCCTTGACACCTGGGGCCTTCATTTTTGGTGGGTAGAAATCTCACCCATCTGCTAGCGCAACTATGTAATGCAGCGGAGTACTGGTAGGGGTGACTACCAAATGACCCGTCCTTAAGTTGATGGTTGGAACACTGCTCCATGTCCGGGTGAAAACTCTTGTTCTGACCTTTATTGGTTAGGCTCAACAACGATGAACTTGTGTCGTTACTTTGTTGAAGACTGTGTCTCCTTGTCCATTGTACTGGACTTTAGTGATTGGTTTCAGCAACTAGGAGAAAATTCTTGTCTTGACAATGTCGGACATGACGACGGCAGCGCAAGGACGTGTATCCTTCTTGAAGGATCTTGTGCAGAAGAGGTCGGTTTAGTCATAGGTGTTTTGTTCATTTTTCCTATAACGGTTTGTTGTAGTTGCCTTGGTTCCGTACACTGCTTAATAATGAATAACAATGGTTGTGTGTATGCATGGTAATGATGCAGATTATGAGGCTTTCAACCTTCTTTTCAAAAAAGAAGTGAATAATATACTCCGGGCCGCCTTGTATTCTTCTTTTAGAAGATAATGATTTTTCGTATAAAACTAACAAACAACGTACAGCTCAATGCGCTCATAGTCTTAATAAGTTAATTATTTATCATCATTTAAAACCCTTATATATCTGCATGGCTTCGCGACCTGCTAATATTTTAATCAATCTTGTTGGTCATTGTTATAACTTGGGTCGTGAAAGATTAATCATTTAGGTGATGCACTTTGGCTCTTGAGGATGAATATAATGATGACAAAGATAAATAAGAGAGAATAATATGTGCATATTAATCATGATTCATGAATGGGAATCAACTTATCAAAGGTCCCATGCATGCGTTAGGTTCTTTGGTTCATAATTTTATTGGCGACTATATCTTTCAACAATAAACTTCCCCAAAGCTACAATCACAAGATGGAAGATAGGGATGCAGCATCCTACCAACTGATTTGCTTCGTTGTACAGTTTCGACTCTCGAAAGCAACACTTACATGCACGTACGGCGTGCGCATGTCCAATCTCTGTAGTGCAAAAACTGAAGTGAGTATGCATAATGGTGGTGAGTTAACCTACCATTAGATTTTGATAGAATAGCAAACGGTGAATTGCAGGGGCACTAATCTTCAACGTGTCCCGTTTAGATGTTTACACTAGCACCAGATCAAATTGATGCTATTATTAAGTTTCAAAAAAATTGATACTACAATTAATTAAGCACATGAATGCCGTCGCAAAAGAAATTAAGCACATGAATGATCACTGTTACTCGGTCCGGATTTACTAGTCCCGTCATATTTTGGGTCATATTTTGATCATAATTTTAACTAATAAAGTATTAGTGACATGTAGCAAAAAAAATATTGTTAGAAACTACATTCAAATGTGAATTCAACAATATAATATTTGGTTACATGCATTAATACTTTGCTAGTC